AATGTCAGTTACGGTGTCCTGCCCTTCTCTGACAAAAAGTTGGATGTGGGACCCATACTGGGAAAATGATACTTTCCTCCTTGATTTTTCATGGTGAGTGTGAGGAAGCATGGATCCTAAAGCAGCTTGGAGGCTAGCTGTGGAAACATGAATAAAGTCAGCCTTCTATCAATTTCCAAAAGGTGGCTTCTTGGAAGTGGTGTGCCTTGGCAGGGTTTTGAAGGGCTCACGTAGAAAGGGGGGAACAGGAAGACATTCAGGGAAAGGGAGGAAGACTCAGAAACTGCTGTGAGGGGAGGGGTGGGGGATGAGTATGGGAAGCACTTAGAAGCTGGATGGGGTCATATCTCAACATCTCACTGCATGGCAGTAGATGAGCTTCAAATGTTGATACAGGAGAAGAGAAATCCTCATTATTGCTATGAAAGAGAACTCACCTGGTTCTAAAATGTAAGAAAAATTCCATGTGTCCCAGTCAGCTCTTGGCGCTGGAGGACTTAAAAAAATGAGAGAAAAGGACAGTTGAACTGATCCCAGTAGAGTAAATCAATGAAATTACAAAAGCAAAAAGTAAGATGGCAGAAAATGAGCATAACCACATTTAGGGCAGCAGAGGCACTTTCAGGAATGAGAGAGGGGTCAGAGGATAGTCAGAGCAGAGAGAAAAAATTAGAGAAATATATAGCAAAATCGCCTTAAGGAAAAATAGAAAACCTGAGTCATCTTAGAACACTTTGAAGTGTTGAGTCAGTAGTTAACAATATTTCCACAAAGAAAACATCATACCCAGCTTTTCAGTCCTACACAGTCTCCCAGATAATAGAAGAAGAGGGAGATGTTCTCAGTTCACAGAGTAACCCATGATCCCCAAATTAGGCAAGGTCAATGGAAGGAAAGTAAATTACAGTCCATCTGACGAATGTAGATGTAAACATCTTTTAAAATATATTGGCAACTTCAGGTGGAAGCAGCCTTGGCCCCCAGTGCCCTTAAAGGACAGTAATTGCGCTCCTGTCTTGTAAATGTCTTCTGACCATTGATTTCAGACTTCCGGCCTCCAGAATAGTGACAGAATAAATTTCTGCCATTGTAAACCTCCCAGTTTGTGGTACTTTGTTATGGCAGCCTTAGGAAATTAATACAACAGACATTCTTAAAACTTTTCTCTACCATATTCTAGCTGTATTATCAAGTGACTTCATCTTTCTGAAACTCAGTTTTTAAACTTTAAAATAGATAAAATATGCAAATTGGTGCAGCTGCTATAGAAAATAGTATAGTATAGCAATTGCCCAAAAAAATGAAAAATAAAATTACCATATGATCCAGCAATTCCACTTAAGGGTATATTCTTGAAACAATTAGGAATGTGATCTTAAAGGGATATTTGTCTACTTGTGTTCATAGCAGCACTATTCATGATAGCCAAAGTTGGAAGCAACTCAAGTATCCAACAACAGATGAATGGATTAAAAAAAATGTGATACACACACACACACACACACACGCACACCCCAATGGAATATTATTTAGCCTTAAGAAGGAAGGAAATTTTGACATATGCCACAGCATGGAGGAACCTTGAGGACATGATGTTTAGTGAAATAAGCCAGACACAAAAGGACAAATACTGTATGATTCCACTAATATGAGGCACCTAGAGTAGTCAAATTCAGAGACAGAAGGCAGAATGGTGGCTGTCAGGGCCTGGGGAAGCCAGGAATGGGGAATTATTGTTTCAAGGTACAGTTTCAGTTTTGCAAGATAAAAATTCCGAGATTGGTTGCACAGCAGTGTGAATATACTGAACACTACTGAGCTGAATATTTAAAAATGGTTAAGATGATAACTTTCATGTTATGCGTATTTTACCACAATTAAAAAACTTAAAAGTAGGCCAAATAATACAAGATATGAAACTCAGTACCATAAGTGCTTTTTAAAAAATAAGTGTTGGGTTATAGTAAGGCAGTTTAATAAATTTTAGAATCATCACCATAATCATCATCATCACTTGATAAAAATTAATATCCATTCATAACTTTAAAAAATTCTTAGAATTCTAGAAGTAGAATATATAACGTAAACTATCTGCCAATATTATCCATAATGGTGGAATCATAGAAGCATTCTTCTGTTTTCATCCTGGAAGTCCCAGAGAAATAGCCGGGGGGGTGGAGGGAAGGGACGTATGTCCGATGCCGTTGGCCAGGAAGACCCAAGGTCTTAAGAGTGAAGAATTGATGTGATCAGTTACCATGGCAAAAGATAATGGGGCAAAGCCAAATATTATCCTGGAATGCCCAAGTATTCAAGCAAAAAAGTTAAGCCAAGAAAGTTTAAGTAATGAGCCACATATATCTCAGCAATTTAGTTAGCAAGGAAGGTCCAGGGTTGTTGTTCAGGGAGGCCCAAGTTAATTAGCTGCAACCATCCAGATTGAGTAGTCAAGACAGTTGTTTTCAAAGATTGTCCACCATGGATGGAAGGAAAGTCCAGTGTCCCTGCTAAGGCTATCAGTCTTTAGCTAGGACTCTAGTTCATGAGGGCCCAGCCTTGCTAGTTTCTGGAGGGAGAGGGCCACTGCTTCTCATGCCTGTCCCCATGGCAGGGGCCTGAGTCATTCATACCTTCTCTGAGCCCACGCTGAGTCCCTCTCCAGAACCAGTGGTCCACAGCCCAGCACAAAAATGAACCAGAAGCAAAACTAGTATGAGAGAGGGTGTGAGGGTCAGAGGAGCCAGCTCGGGGACCTAGGGAGAAGGAGGTACAGAGACCTAGGTGGAAGCTGACCCTGGTGGGAAGTGTCCAGTGGGGACCCTGGGCTGTTGGAGACCCCAAAACAGGCCAAGACCCAGGCCATGGGCAGCTTAGAAAGAGTCTGTCATGCTTGAGAGGCCCTGAGGGGCTAGACGGGCTCTGGCTTCCATCAGGCCTCAGTCCCACTGTGCAGTAGCTGGAGCCTATTCCTTCCGAAAGAAAAAGTAACAGACGAGCAGCAAGAAGCAGATGAGGATGATGAACAGATATAGCAAGGTTTCCAGCATGGTGACCATTCTTAATGCGGAGACAGGGCCTGGAGCTCTTGCAGGCCACACAAGGTTGGTTCTGGACTTTCAGCTTGGACCCTGGGCACCACCTCCTCGGAAAAATCTGTCCAGCAAGCCACAGTTCCATCTCCCCAGGGGAAGGGGCTCCACACCACAGGGATCTCTCAGCCACTGTGAGGTCACAAACTCCAGGATGGTGGAATGTTGGCCTCCCAGCTATAGCCCAAATCTTTATTAATGTGACCAGTATGTTGAAAGCAGGACTCCTGGTACGTAATCATTGAATTTTTTTGCCTGCCACTTTAGACTTTCTAAATGGAAGTATCTTTTCCCCTATCCTTAGAAAAATACCAGGCAGGCCTCAAAGCTTTCTTTCTTTCTTTCTTTTTTTTAAATAATTTTTTATTGTTATGTTAATCACCATACATTACATCATTAGTTTTTGATGTAGTGTTCCATGATTCATTGTTTGTGCATAACACCCAGTGCTCCACGCAGAATGTGCCCTCTTTAATACCCATCACCAGGCTAACCCATCCCCTCACCCCCCTCCCATCTAGAACCCTCAGTTTGTTTTTCAGAGTCCATCGTCTCTAAAGGCCTCAAAGCTTTCTGATCATTCTTAGGTAATAAGTCTTTAATCACTAAAATTGCAAACACTGTTTCCATTTGATAATGACCAGTCTAGTATATAAATTTCAATAATTATAGGTGAGACTTCTCTCAGCATCCAGGGCCAAGCATAGCGTGGGCTGCTATCAGCTGAGAGGGGACAGGAGACTTCTCCCTTATCCAAATGTACTTCTCTTTGCCAGGAAGACTCTGCCCACTCTCTTACCCCCAGTATCTCAAGGATCAGAACAGATTAAGGTGGAGGGGAGACTTCTCTCCAGGTTGGGCACATATTTAATGTAGGTCTCTCTCTTGGCCTCTGTTGTAGGGGTTCTTTGGAGAATCCACCCTTTGTCCTCCTAGGGATATGAATAGACCAGGCCCTTCCTGGGGATTCCCTCACCCTAGCAGGCTCCCTCCTGGGCAGCAACTCTTGGGTAGCTCGTGGACATTCCTACTGATACCGGAGACTGGGGGAGTTCTTGGGTCCTGAGCCCTCAACCACCAGCTGGTGCCAGGTTCTTGACTTTGCCACGACAAAGAATTCAAGGATAATCAGAGTAAAATATAGCAGAGAAGCTTTATTGCAAAGCAAAAGTACACACTCTTAGAAACTGAGTGGTGCTGGATAGATGTGGGATTCTGATTCTCTTTAATTAATTTTTAAATTATTAACATATAAGGTATTATTTGTTTCAGGGGTACAGGTCCGCGATTCATCAGTCTTACACAATACACAGTGCTCACCACGACACATACAGTCCCCAATGTCCATCACCCAGCGACCCCATCCCTCCCATCCCCCCTCCACTCCAGCAACCCTGTTTGTTTCCTGAGATTAAGAGTCTCTTATGATTTGTCTCCCTCTCTAGTTTTGTCTTATTTCATTTTTTCCTCTCTTCCCCTTGTGATCCTCTGCCATGTTTCTCAAATTGGGATTCTGATTCTCACAGGCAGCTATAATCAAGGGGTGGAATATTTTTGTAGGTTTCTAGAAATAGTTCCAAGCACTCCATATATCATCACGCATGCTCGAGACCAGTCACTCTGCGCAGGCGCAGTCTGATTTTTCTCTTGCGCACGAGCGGTGGACAACATCTACGAGGAGGAGTCCTCTAGCGCCCCCAGTGGAGGGGTCATTCTCCATCAACTGCAGGCTAACTGGGGCTTTTGCGCATGCGTGCCGCGGTTGCGCATCGTGGTGGTTTCTCAGGCTTCTTATGGCCGCAAGCGTCCCGTTATTCAACAGGTGTGAGGCCAGTTCCCTCCCTGTTCCTTGTCTTTCTTCCTCCGACCGCTACCCAACATTTCCCTAGTCTACCTGCCTCACTACCACAGATGCTACACCTGCTGAAGAAAATGATGAACCTTGGACTGAGGAGTGAGTCAGGCCTGGCTCCCCTGTGCTCTCTAACTCCTGGTAACATATATCAAGCTCCCACGTGTTTCTGCCGGAACCCCTGATACTCAGGTAGTCCTGTTCTCCCTCTTTGGGGCAGGGTGTGGGACTGTCTTAAGAAATAGAATTCATAATTCGCTCTCTTTTTAATATCTAACTGTACTGCTAATACCCTCAACTTAGAGAATTCGGAGTCACGAGCATTGTTCAGTTTTTTTCCTAAATTCTGCATCCCGTTCAACACCTTCTTTGGAAGGCAGCTGCCATTTTTTCAGGTGGAACCTTCACAAATTGCCAGTATTGGGCCACAATTTGCTTACCACAACAGCAATTTGTTGTTGCTGAGCTGTTCATTCCTATGTCGTGGTGCCTCCTTGGTGCCTTGCTGAAATGTCCATTTTAACATCCGGTTACACTAACGATTAACAAGCATCAGCCACACCTCTTAGATGCCCAGCCTCTTCTAGGCATTGGGGATGTACAAATAAACAGCCCCAGATCCCCTCCCTGGCATCACGGGAGCAAGGGATGCAGGAGAATAATCTAGGATTGAATCGTGGCACTGCCCTTTTTTTATTTTTTATTTTATGTTTTTTTTAAAAAGACACATTTATTCAACGTCATGATCAGATTATTACATTTAGCAATCAACAGCATGGGTGCAAAAAAAAAATCTACATTAAAACTCTTTGTTGGAATGCTTTACACTTTCCACAGAACAGAAACTAAACCTGTTATACAATTAGTCACAAATATAGTCCTCGAGTTTTTTGGCCATACACATGAGTATTGTCTAAAACATGTCTTCTCTGTAGCAGCTCGGCCCTGCCACCACTGTGCTTGGCCGAGTTCACAAATCTGTTGTAACCTGTAGCTTCCCTGTCACTTCTCTGGCTCTCCTCTCCTGCTAAGCTTTGTTTCCTGGCAGTGATTAAAACCTTCTGCCGCTGCCGTAGCTGCTGCTGCTGCTGGAACCACCATGGCCACCTTGGTTTCGTGGTTTGGCAAAGTATTGGCCTCCACACCATAGGGGCCAGAGTTTCTGCCTCCAAAATTTCCTCCTTTCATGGGTCTAAAAATTTGAGGATTGGTTGTTGTAATTGCCAAAATCGTTATAGCTTCCGCCACCTCCAGAGTTGCTTCCATCATTACCAAATCCGTTATAGCCATCCCCACTGCCACCATATCCACCACCACCTCGACTGCCACCAAAGCCACCTCGACCACTGAAGTTCCCTCCACGACCAAAGTTGTCATTCCCACCAAAACCACCTCCACGACCACCACCAAAGTTTCCAGAACCACTTTGACCTCTTTGGCTGGATGAAGCACTAGCCATCTCTTGCTTAGATAGGGCTTTCCTTACTTCACACTTGTGGCCATTCACAGTATGGTATTTTTGAATGACAATCTTGTCTACAGAGTCATGGTCATCAAATGTTACAAAAGCAAAACCTCTCTTTTTGCCACTGCCTCGGTCAGCCATGATCTCGATCACTTCAGTTTTCCCATACTGTTCAAAATAATCTCTTAGGTGAGGTTCTTCAGTGTCTTCTTTAATGCCACCAACAAAAATCTTTTTCACAGTTAAGTGGGCACCAGGTCTTTGAGGATCTTGAGACAGCCCTCTGGTTCCACAACTCTTCCATCCACCTTGTGTGGCCTTGCATTCATGGCTGCATCCACCTCTTCCACAGTGGCATACGTGACAAACCCAAAGCCTCTGGAGTGCTTGGTGTTTGAATCTCTCATTACCACACAGTCCGTAAGCGTTCCCCATTGCTCCAAATGGCTCCTCAGACTCTCATCGGTTGTTTCAAAGCTCAAACCTCCGTTGAAGAGCTTCCGCAGCTGTTCAGGCTCTTCGGGAGACTCTGACTTAGACATGATGGCGGTGGGAGGGGAGACTTTAACGATGCTTGCTCGGTGGTGTCCACAGGCAGAAAAGCGGCACTGCCCTTTTTTTAAATCTTCTTAGGGTACCCTTGCCTTAAACTCCAGCTTGGGACAATAAGGCCCCCAGCCTGAGCCGTGCAGGAAGCCCTGCTCCTCCTAGGATGTCCCAGGCTCATGGGGTGCTGGGCGCTGTGGAAGGGCCATGCTCTCAGCCTCCTGCTTGCTGCTTCTCTCCTCTGGCTTGCGAGAGCTGATCAAAGCCAGATGGCTTTAGACCTGTGCTGATGAACACAGCAGCCAGCGGCCACGGTGGCTAATGGAGCACTGGGAATGTCGCTGGTCCAAATGTCAGTGTTGAGCATGCGCCAGATCCTAAAGACTTAGAGAAAACAGATAGCAAATATCTCGTTAATAATTTAAAGATATTAAAAAATGCTGAAATGACAATATTTTGGTTATATTGGCTTAAATAAAATAGAGTATTAAAATTAATTTCACCCTTTTTTGTGCCTTTTTAATGTGGCTCTTAGAACATTCTATTTTTATTTATTTATTTTTAAAGATTTAATTTATTTATTTCAGAGAGAGAGAGCGGGGCTGGAGGGGCAGAAGGAGAAGCAGACTCCCTGCTGAGCAGGGAACCTGAAGCGGGGTGATCCCAGGACTCTAGGATCATGACTTGAATTGAAGGCAGACATTCAACCAACTGAGCCACCCAGGGACCCCAGAACATTTTAAATTACATATGTGGCTAGCATTATATTTCTACTGACAGTGCTGCCTTAGACTTTCTCAACATAGCACATTCTCTCAGCCTTACAGTGTCCTTTCAGTGACAGAAACCCTTGGCTTTCTCAGAAATACTAGAGTATAGCAACTGTATGCTTGGCCATTTGCTCTGTGCTTTGCTTTTGATATGTATCATTTCGCATAATTCTCGAAGCAATGCTCTGAGGAGAAAGCTATGATTTTGTCCATTTTTCAGAAAAGGAAAACTCAAGCTGGGCTGAGGAGTTGGGTCATTTAGTCAAGGTCACACAGAGCATAAGAGTGAGAACAGGAGGCAGGCAAGAACAGGTGTGCTCAAGTGTGCGCCCCTGACCCTTTGGTCCAGTGTCCTCAGAGCTACAGCATCCATGGTCCCTACCTATCACAGAATTCCCCAACGTTCCCACAGTCTTCTCCCAGGTACACAATATAGAGTGTGCTCACCTCGGTTGCATTGGTCAGGCCTGGATATCCACTCTGTGCTGACCTAGTCAGTTCCAGGAATCTGACTGGGGGGACCCCCTCCTCGGGCACAAGAGTGGGCTGTTTATACTTCCGAATGTGGGCTGAGTTAGTGGCAGGGTTGCCTTAGGTTTAAGGGATACACATGACCCAGGGTGCAGGCAGTGTTTGTGCCTGTGAGGTTTGGGAACCACGAGCCTCTTCTCAAGCGTGTCTGCAGTGTCCTGTCGGGAGCACGAGGCTTCTATCTGTCGTCTTTACCGCTCTGCAAATCTGATCAAGTCCTTCCTGCTTCAAGGACTCATTTTTGGGACTGAGTTTAGCAAAGCACCTGCCCCGCTCTCTAGGTTTATCTCCTTGTCACTCTCACGTTCCACTTTCAGGTCATTAGAACAATATTTTAACTGGCGATGTCCAAATATATGGTCAGAATTCTTTCATTTGTTCAATTGTGCCAGCCACTAAACTAGGTACTGTGAATGCAGTGGTCAAGCAGGCAAGAACCCTCTTGTCCAGACAACCTGCAATCAGCATGAGCTCTTGCTAATAACAGCTCCTCACGTGCAAGAGTAACCATTCCTGTAAATTAATGACAAACCAGTGGCAAAAACAGAATAAAGAGAAAAGCAAAATAAGTGAGGGAATGTATTTCCAAAATTCCAGGCTGCTCTAGGAAAAGATCTCAAGCCCTACGGAGTCGGAATTTGAGCTCCGCGCCACCAGGGGGCGCGACAGGATCGGTTGCACGGGATCCGCCCCGCGAAACGCCGCTCTAGGCCGTAGCCTGGGCTCCAGCTGCATTTCCGCTGGCGCTGGGCGGGTGAGGCGTTTCCTGTTGTTGTCGCTGCTGCCGCCGGCCCCATCCAGCGCCGTGCCACGCTGCCCGGGTCCAACTCCCGCAATCTCCAGACATCCGCACCTTCCCGCGCTGTCGGCTCTGTCAGCGCCGCTGTCCTGCGTCGTAGTCGCGGTGCCCGGGGTGAGTCCACTGCGGGGATCGCTGGGCGCGTGGTCTGCGGCCCCAACACCTTAAGGAGAAACTGAGGCCCGGAGGAGGACGGGGAGAGCCGGCGGAGGTCAGCCCGGATGATCCGGGCCCGGCTCCTGGCTCCGTGTCCGGCCCCTCCGCCGGGTGCGGATCTCTCGGGAGGCGGGTCCTCGAGAAAGGGGCCCCGGGTCCGATCCCCCGCCCTCAGCCCGCCCGCGGGGAAGACTCCGGTCGCGCTAACGACCAGCAGCGGGTCCGGCGACGCGCGGGCCGCGCAGCCGCTTGTGTTCCCGGGCCCGAGGGGCGCCCCGGACCCCGCGGTTTTCACGCACTCACCCACCCCCGGCTCCGGGCCTTGAGTCCCCCAGAGCCGTTCATCGGTTGCCTACGGAGTGACCTGAGGAGTGTGAACCCGTTTTGGCGTCACCTGTCTTTAACGGAGTGTGAAAGCCCGGGTTGTGCAGAGCGGTTGTCTGAGCTTTCAGGTGGGGGCGCTCGCGGGGCCGCGGAGGGGCAGCGTGTGATTCCTGCCTCCCTGCTTGGCACTAAAGCCCCTTCCCGGTTCTCTCCCGTGCCCAGGCCGTGCGGGCTCTGCTCTCTTGGGAGCAGATGGAGACTGTCCTTTGGACGGCTTTGCGGGCGGTGCCGCAGGCAGCACCCCTTTCTGCCCTGCAGGACCCTGATCCGCAGCTCCTGATGCCGCCCTTGTGTGCAGGGGTGAGGCCTGCTGGGTAAGTGCTGCTGCGCGTGAGCACCTTGACCAGAGAGCTCCTTGCCTTCCTGCCACAGCGCGGTGAGGGGGGAGGGGAGAGGGTGGTCCTGGAGCTCAGGTTCTGAGACCCTTCTTGCAAAGCCCTTGTGCAGAAGGGGGTGTGGTGTGGTAGGTGGGGTGGGTTTGGGGTCAGAGAGGTCTGGGTTCAGATCCTGGTTCAGCCCACCCCTGGCCAGCCGCATAACCTTGGCTCAGTTCCTTCCTTGTCCTAAGCTTCACTTTTAAGTGGGGAAACTGCCAGAGCTCTGGGAGGACAGAGGTCTCGTGTGTGTCCTTTGTTTTTGAGCCCAGGGTGCCTGACACGTAGTAGGTACTCAGGCTGTATGTGTGGGGTGAATAAACGATGTTGGTGTTTTTGCCAGGAGTTAGTCTTCCCTTTGGTGATGGGAGGTGGAATCTTTACAAGAAGTGATGATGGTCCTGGGCTTGGCGGGGCAGCTGGGGGCTAATAGGGGCTTTTCTTCCAGGCTCACCTTCTGCCTTTTCTGCACCTGCATTCGAAAGTGATCATGGTCTGTCTGTGTCCTGGTCATTGATAGTGCAGGGAGAGGAGTTGCTGAAAGCACTTCCCCGTGTTTGGAGGGTCCCTTCCTGTCCCTTCCAAACTCTGGAGCTTTCCCACACTTCCTTCTCCTCACCATCTTTTAGATGCCTCTGGGCACCTGTGTTTCTTGCGTGCTCTCCGTGCCTGGCTCAGGATGGTTTCTGTTTTTGTGAGGCTTTAAAAAGCCTCACAGGGAGCACGAGGGTGGGTCCTGCCTCATTGCATGTCTGAGTTGGTTGTGCAGCCACAGCTGTGTTCTTCTGACACTGGTCTCTAATGTCAGCAGCTCTGTGTCCCTTTCTGCCCCTGTGTTTGAGGGGGTTACAGGCTGCCCATGTCCTGGTCATTGGTAATGCAAGCAAAGGAAAAGTTATAAGGCTTTCTTTATGTTCAGGGGTTCCAGAATGGGACAGCCTTAGGTGACAGAGCATGAGGTAGATGGAGGGAGGCAGGCTTTCAGTGCATTCACCGCCCAAGACCCAGATTCCCCCAGTGTTTTCCTGTTGGTGAGCATAGCGGTTTCCTGGACACGTAAAGCAGTGCCAAGTGCTTCTTGTCCCCTGCAGGAGTGTCTTGTGACTGCTGTTCCACAGATGTGAGAGGCGACCTCAGGGAGAACTTGATCGGGAGGTCCCAGGTAAGTGGTGTCCTGCCTGGTTCTCGAGAGCTTAAGTCTGTGTGGGCTGAGGCTGGATGCGTTCAGGTGATGAGGTGTGGGAATGAGTGCAGGTGAAGGCTGCTTCCCAGTGTTCCCGGCTGTCTGTGTCCCCTCGAGCCAGTGGGCACAGGCCTGGGCCCTCTTCTGCTCCTGAGAGCCCCTGATGAAGGCTCCTGTGACGTGGAAAGTGGCAGTATCGGGATGGTCAGACGGCTGCATTTCAGAGGCAAACCGAGATTCATGTCCGGTGCCCAGCTGAGTGCTCATTGTATGACCACTCACACCCCATCTTCCAGAACCACGAATCCTCAGTATTTCTGCACCATTAGTCTTCACTTCATCTCTTGGGTGGGAGTGGTAAATCGTCCGTGCAAGTGAGGGGCAGCTTCTGTGATCTCGGGTTGTCAGTCTGGTCACGGGCCTGTGTGCCAAGGCTCCAGGGTCAGGCCAGTTCCCAGGCTGCTGCCCAACAAGGCTTCCCTTCTCCTCAGCCCACTCGCCGCCCTTTTCTGCACCTGCATTCGAAAGTGATCATGGGCTGCCCGTGGCCTGGTCATTGATAGTGCAGGGAGAAGAGTTGCTGAAAGCGCTTCCCCGTGTTAGAAGGGCCCATCCTGTCCCTTCCAAACTCTGGAGCTTTCAAACACATCTTTCTTCCCACTAATTGGTGTTACTTCCTCATATCTGGCGCTTTGTGGCTCACTCAATGCCTTTTTCGCTGAGCAGGGTAACACCTCAGGGTGTTTCTGTTCATGGGCCAGTGGTAGAGCCATGATAGGGGTCCCTCTTCTCCCAGGGCTCCCCCAGGAAGCTTTCTCTGCCTCCCCATCGTACCTCTTCCCACACCCTCAGCCCCGGTCATACTGGACATTGGTGATTTGCTTGTCATGCCCCCTTTGCTGTGATGTTGAGGCAGTGCCTCTGTCTTGCTGCATGACATGTAGCTCTTGGATAGAACAAGATGTAGGAGACAAGGTGCCACGTGGTGAGGCAGTGGGCTCATCCCATTGTGGCGTGTCAGTGGGAAGACAGTGCCCTTGAGCCAGCCAGCCTGCTCAAGGCTGAGGCATCCTCCTCTCCCTGGAAGTGTTGGTTCTCTCTCGTCCTGGTCATGGGCTGGGCCCGTGGTCCACAGGGGGTGATGTTCCTCAGTCCTTAGATTGAAGGGCAGGGAATGGAGTGGTGATCCAGCTGGGCAGCACACATCCTAGTTGATACATACATAAGCTGCCCTTACACACTAGGTGGAGGAAATGGGTCCCTCCCACTACCTGTTACCCCTCCTGTTCTATGCTCATCACTGCCAGTCAGTATGGCACGCTCCCCAAAACCTGGCCTCAACAACCTTTTGACATAGACTGCTTAGCAGCAGATTGATCTCTGGCCCATAGGTTAGCACTGACGTTACTCCTGTGACAGGTGATCCTCAGACCCCTTTCTAGAGTTAAGTTGTTCTTGTCCTTAAGATAGTCGTGTGGTACTAGTGGATACTAGTAGCAACAGGCCACGTTTGTGGTTGCTGTTATTTGCCGGCCACTGTGCCCACGAGGGCCTGCTGTGAGTGCTCACTCGTGCGTTGTGTCTTGCAGGTGGGTCTGTGTGCAGAGGCTCCATGGGAGGTGTCATTTTACCAGCCTGCGGTAGGCTGTGGGGCCCGAGGTAAGGTACTCAGACCTCTCTCTGGAAGTTTGTTTTGTGCATCTGTCAAGTCACATACATGTACCCTGGGGTTTGGATGAGGAAGTAAGATGACAGTAGGCATCCTGTGAGCTCGCAGTTGAGTCCTTGCTGTGGGCAATGCCTCACGTACCGAGAGGGGACGGGCCTCTAGAAAGCTGCTCAGGTAGGTGAAGGGCTCCTTGGGGCAGCTCCCTTCCTAGTGTCAGCAGCATGCCCTGAGGGAAAGCATGTAGGTTTAGGCACCAGAGACCCTGGTCCGGCCTCCAAACTTATCTACCTTTGTGACCTATTCTTAATCTCTACTTCATCTGAAAAACATAGCTGGGGTAGCCGTGAAGGGTTTTAGAAAATTTCTCATGGTGGTGTTGTAACCATAGGATCCTGATCTTTTCTAACCCAAAAGCATTTCCGATTTTTTTTTTTTAAAGATTTATTTATTTCAGAGAGAGAGTGGCGGGGAGGAGCAGAGGAAGAGGGAGAGAGAAACTCCAACAGACTGCACTCAGCGTAGAACCCAACGCAGGGCACAGTCCCACAACCCATGAGGTCACGACCTGAGCTGAAACCCAAGAATCGGTCGCTTAACCATCTGTGCCACTCAGGCACACCAGCATTTCCAATTTTTTATGCTGGAAGCATCTTGACTCTTCTGGGGCAGGGAGGTGTTGCAGGGTCTCTGCAGGGTACAACAGAAGCTGCTGGGGCTCTGTGTTTGGCTGGGCTGCTCTCCCTCACTCAAGCCCCTGACACCAGCCTCCCATCCTTCCTGGTTCTTTCTGCACTTTTCTGCTCCTGCACCCAAAAGTGACTGCCTGCTGTCTTTGCCCTGGTCATTGATAGTGTAGGGAGAGGAATCACTGAAAAAAGTTCTGTGTTTGAAGGGTCCAGCCAGCCATCCCCTTCCAAGCCCTGGAACTTTCCTGCACTAGCTTTCTTTCTGCCGTTCCCTTCAGAGCTTGGGCCTTGTGGGATGCAGTGACTGGGCTAGCCCCCTGACCTCTGGGGGCTCATTCTGTTCTCATGTTACAGATTCTCTTGTCAGAAATCAGTCTATACATTTCTATGTGGCCCTCACCCCAGACTAAGTTCATAATAGCGCTGGAGGGCACACGTGAGCATCGCAAATCCTGGGTTCGACTTTATGAACTTATGGGAGTGGAAGCTAGCCCGGAAGAGCGCATCAGTACTTACGGGAGTGGGGGCTAGCCCGGAAGAGCGCATCAGTACTTACGGGAGTGGAGGCTAGCCCAGAAGAGCAATCAGTCAGGACAGCATGCGGTTCCATTGCTCACGTGTGTGTTGTCTTTGCTCCTTTACCCTTTCTTGAGCACAGCGTGGGTTGCTTCTCCAGGAGCTGTGATGTTAAATAAATGTAGAAAGAAAGTACAGATGGGGCCTGCTATAGGGGCATGGGGGGGTTCTGTCTATTGTGAGTCGATAAAGAAGTTCTCATTCGTCATGGTCTGCCAGAAGCTGGGGTGGTTCTCATCAGTCACTGGTGGGAGGAGAGCGTGTTGACTGACCACCCTGTCTGTAGCTCCCCTTCTGCTGACTGCTGTGCTTTGTGGGTTCTTTTGAAACGGGTGACCCCGGGGGTTGGCTGAAGAAGAATTTCTCAGGCCTGTGGATCTCTGAGGTCTGTATTTATGGACTACAGGTGGCAGACTTCCCAGCCTGCTTTCTGGCTCACGTCTGTGAGGGTATTGTTGCTGACTGGGCGCTCGGTGCGGTCATCCATCTGCAGCAGGCTGACTGGCTGCCTTCTGTGCTGTGCACCTGCCGATGAGTTCCGGAAGCAGAAACCCCGCAGTGGTGTCTTCACTCTCTGGACTCAGACAGCCTGCTGGTGCCCCTGAGAAATCAGCCTGGTGCTCCTGAGAGAGACAGCTTGGTGCCCCTGAGAGGAATGTCTTGGCTCCCAGGTAACAAGGGCGGTGAGGTTGGAGGTGAGGTCAAGGTGTCCATCCCTTTGACCCCCCCCCCCACTTTTGATCGAGGGCTCCTTTCTAGTTCCCAAGATCTCTTCCCT